CTCGGCCCCAGGACAGGGCCCGCACCACCTCCTTTGGAGAAAACGCCGACGGTCCCAGGAAAGCAGGAAGGACGGGGAAATTGGAACCGCCCCAGAGGCTCGGGACCTTTGCAGAGTATTAAGCCTCTTGGAGGAAACAGAGCAAAGGCCCGGAAGCCAGGGGCTCGGGGAGGTACCACTCGGCTGACGACATCCTGGACGTGGGCCTGGACCAACAGGAGAGGCTGCAGTATGTTCACGAGAGGTCACGGTCATCGCCCTCCACAGACCTCTACAAACAGGTGAGTGGTACACTCGGGCAAGCTCATGGTCGCCCCCACCGCTGTCTTTTATTTATTTAAAAAAATTTTTATTGAATTCAGAGAGGAAGGGAGAGGGAGAGAGAGAAAAACATCAGTGATGAGAGAGAATCATCAATCGGCTGCCTCCTGCATGTTCCCCACTCAGAATCGAACCCACAACCCGGGCATATGCCCTGACCGGGAATCAGACTCTGATCTCCTGGTTCATAGGTCGATGCTCAACCACTGAGCCATGCCGGCCGGGCTGGACCGCTGTCTTAGGGACCTATAGGGCTCCCCCCAAATATAATGGGCCAGCACCAGCATGACTTGCATCCACTCATTGCAGCATTGATGGTGCTGGTTTTTTTTGTTTTTGTTTTTTTGTTTTTTTTCCAAAAATATTTTTATTTTAGAAGTTTTAAAATATATCAAAATTAGAAACAATAGTGCCCAACATCTAGCTTTAACAATTATTTACATTGTGCTATAGTGGCTTCATCCCACCCTCTATTTTTATATTATTTCTAAGTAAATGAAAAATACTGAGATATTTCACTTCTAAATGCTTCCACACAGATCTCCAAAAAGTTGAAATATATTCTTACAAAACCAGAATACCTTTATCACACCTAACAATGTTGACACTAATGTCACAGTATCACCTACTATCTAGTGCTTTATCAACAGCAGAGGAGTAAAGGTCATCTGGTTACTTCAGGAATCTTAGGATCAGCACCAAATGATATAGCTACCCGGTTGTAGATGGTGCTGTTTTAGCATCCATTTGTGTGAAAGGGTTCTGGGGCGACTTCAGCTTGTTCACGGCGGTTTTAGGTGTCGTGATTCACCCACAGCGGAGGTTCCCAGCCCCTCTCTGGCTGCACTGTCTCCCTCTCCCTCAGCAGCTTGTCTCTGCCTTAGTTCCGAGCAAAGACCTTGGGGGAAACTGTAGAAAATGGCAAGTTGTCCTCTGAAATGAAGAGTGATTTTTAAACATGGATGGCATTTAATCATTTAATATTTTTATTTATTTTTTATTTTTTAAATATATTTCTTTATTGATTTCAGAGGGGGAGGGAGAGGGAGAGAGAGAGAGAGAGAGAAACATCAATGATGTGAGAGAATCATTGATCGGCTGCCTCCTCCACGCCCCCTACTGGGGATCGAGCCCACAACCCGGGCATGTGCCCTTGGCCGGAATCGAACCTGGAACCCTTCAGTCCGCAGCCGACGCTCTATCCACTGAGCCAAACCAGCCAGGGCTAATCATTTATTATTTTTAGTATCTGTTCTTTTTAGTAATTTTTCCCCCAAATATTTTTAAAGATTGCTCTCAGGCAAATGTAATTAAAAAGCCATGCAGCCCTGATCAGTGAGGCTCAGCTAGTTGAGCATCGTCCTGTGCACCAAAAAGATCGCTGGTTCGATTCCTGGTCAGGGCACATGCCCAGGTTGTGGGTTCAGTCCCTGGCTGGGGTACAAACAGGAGGCAACCAATCTGTTTCTCTCTCACATCTCTCTCTCTCTCTCTCTCTCTCTCTCTCTCTCCCCATTCCTCTATCTCTGAAATCAATAAAAACATTTTTTTAAAGGCATTGCATCATGACACTATTGCACTTTTTTTTTTAAGGTAAGAGTTTTGATGGTCAAAGTTGAGGTCAAGTTTCTAGCAAGCTGCATATCTGTGTCCATACTTCGACACCAATAGTTTCTCCCTCCCTCTCTCTGCTTTTTCTGCCTCAAATCTGCACTTGTATATGTCCAGGAACAGATTTCCTGCAGCACCAGGTGCAGTTTCTTTTTAAAAGAAAAAAAGCAGTAAAGCCTGGCTGGTATGGCTCAGTGGTTGAGCATCAACTTATGAACCAAGAGGTCACGGTTCAATTTTGGATCAGGGCACATGCCCGGGTTGTGGGCTCGATCCCCAGTAGGGGACATGGGGGAGGCAGCCAATCGATGATTCTCTCTCATCATGGCTGTTTCTCTCTCTCTCTCCGTCCCTCTTCCTGCCTCTCTGAAATCAATAATATATTTTAAAAAAGAGAACTGCAGTAGGATATCGCACAGCATTCAGGGTGTGTATGTGTGTGTGGAGAGACTGGGTTCTGGAAGGCCGGGGACTTCGGGAGCGTGTGTTCCTGCCCTGGAGGTGCCCTGGCCTGCAGCCCGCACAGCGTGACCCGTGAGAAGTCCCTGCTCGCTCAGTCAGGAGACAAGGATCCCGCAGGCTGGCAAGTCCTGGGCTTGAGGCTTCGCCCCAGTGAGTCAGGACCAGCCGGTTGGGATTTTTTGGCCCGTGTGCCCCGCGGCGTTACAGCCCTCGTGTAGGAGTTCTGCTTCCTGCCCAGGACTGCGGTGGACATGGGTCTGATGTGTTTTTTTTAAATATATTTTTATTGACTTCAGAAAGGAAGGGAAAGGGAGAGAGAGAGACATCAATGATGAGGGAGAATCACTGATTGGCTGCCTCCTGCATGCTCCCCGGCTGGGGATTGAGCCTGCAACCGGGGCATATGCCCTTGACTGGAATCGAACCTGGGACCCTTCAGTCTGCAGGCCAGCGCTCTACCCACTGAGCCAAACCGGCCAGGGCAGTCTGATGGGGTTTTGGTGCAGCTCTGAGGAGGGCGAGCTCGGTGTGGGGACCAGCCCGCAGGCTCGCAGGGCGCACCCACAGTGAGGGTTGGTAATAATGGATGTCTGGGAGAAGGCGGCCGATGACTCGGTCTCCCTGTGCTGCCCGTGGCAGGAGGCGCCCATCGAGCCGAGGCGACAAGCGGAGGACCCTGGCGAGCACAGAGAACATCCCTCCACAGTCCCGGCCGAGGATGGGGGTCCTGCCCCGAGGTAGGCAAACTTGGGGAGGGGGTGACAAAGACGGCTTCTGGGGTGTGTGTTTCTTTATGGTGGTGAACGCCTGGCTAAACAGGGTTGGGCATCTGGGTTTGTCCAAACCTGAAGGGGCTGCTAACTGGGCGATCCAGTGTCCCCGGGGCGGGAGAGCGTCCCAAGGCAGGGATGCCCTCGAATGCCATCATGGTATTTTTGGTTCTGAAAATGGCTGCTGTGTTTTCCGTACAGGGAGGTGCTTTTTGCTAATAGAAGGGGAAACCCCGTGGGCCGAGCCCCAATGAAATGCTTTCTCCGGCAGCCGCTGGAGGGGCTTTACTAAGCGGCGCACAGCTGGGGTGCTGGGCAAGGCTCCCAGTCAGAGTTTCCTCGGAGGGTTGTCAGTCAGAAAGGAGCAGGGTGAGCCTCTCCTGATTGGATGTATTTTAATTTTAATTTTAAAAATATTTTTATTGATTTCAGAGAGGAAGAGAGAGGGAGGGAGAGAGAGAGAGAGAAACATCAATGATGTGAAAGAATCATTGATCAGCTGCTTCCTGCACGCCCCCTAATGGGGATCGAGCCCACAACCCAGGCATGTGCCCTTGACTGGAATTGAACCTGGGACCCTTCAGTCCACAGGCCAATGCTCTATGCACTGAGCCAAATTGGCTAGGGCTTGTTTTAATTTAAAGATATATATTTTTTTATTGATTTCAGAGAGGAAAGGAGAGGAAGAGAGAGAGAAATCTCAATGATGAGAGAAAATCATTGATCGGCTGCCTCCTACACACCCCACACTGGGGATCGAGCCCGAAACCTGGACATGTGCCCTGACCTGGAATCGAACCATGACCTCCTGGTTCAGAGGTCGATGCTCAACCACTGAGCCATGCCGGCTGGGCGAGGGTTTGTGTTTTGAAGCTGCTGTGCTATGAGGCGTCTTCAGGATCAGCTGTGATGTACACACTGCGTGTGTGATGTGCACACGATGTGTGTGATGTACACACTGCGTGTGTGATGTGCACACTGTGTGTGTGTTGCACACACTGCGTGTGTGATGTGCACACGATGTGTGTGATGTACACACTGCGTGTGTTGCCAGGGCTCTGACGTGGTGAAAGGGTCCAGTGAAGGGGGAGGGTCCTGGGCTGCATTTGTCACGGGTGTCTTTGAGCAGACTGCCTAACCACTCTGAAGAAATTAGTTCCAGAAGTTTCTGCTTTGGGGCTATACACCCGGCAATTTGCAGGACTGTGGGTGCTGTTAGAGCGCGAGCCTCAGTGAAATTCTAGGCTAGGAATGTGGAGGCGTCGTTTCCAACTTTTCTTGGCGAGAGTTTAGCTTCTGAAGTGTTGGCAAGAGGGAGTGCCTGGGAACATCGTGCTGTGGGATAAAAGCAGCGAAAATTCAGGCAAAGGCCCGTCTGACGAACACAAAGCCTCTGCCGCAGAGATTCCAGGCGCTCGGCGTTGCCCATCAGCTTAAGGTAACGTAAACGTGTCTGAATGAAGAGTAAACTGCAGATCTGATGCGCAGCGCGAGACAATGAAAGTGGTTTTTGTTGTACTTTGTTGGGATGACAGAAGAGCGGCAAGATAAGAATTATTGTTTGTTTATGCAACCTGAGCCTATTTTTGTGGGGTTCAGGATTCTGTGTTCTTTTACATTTTATTTTATTCTTTTTTTAAAAAAAATATATTTTATTGATTTTTTACAGAGAGGAAGGGAGAGAGATAGAGTTAGAAACATCGATGCGAGAGAAACATCGATCAGCTGCCTCCTGCACATCTCCCACTGGGGATGTGCCCGCAACCCAGGTACATGCCCTTGACCGGAATCGAACCCGGGACCCTTGAGTCCGCAGGCCGACGCTCTATCCACTGAGCCAAACCGGTTTCGGCATACATTTTATTTTATTGATTGATTGATTTGAGAGAGAGAGAGAGAGAGAGAGAGAGAGATCACTGTGAGAGGGAAACATCCTAAGCACCCTGACCGGGCACCGAACTCGCAACCCAGGCATGTATCCTGACTGGGAATCGAACCGGTGACCTTTTGGTGCACAGGATGCCATTCAACCAACCGAGCCACAGGGGCCAGGGCTATTTTTTAAAAATATTTTGTCTTACTCAAAATGAGACTGTGCATCACTCAAGGGGTAATTATGCCTCACTCAAGTCTGAGAAACGCAGCTCTGGCTCAGAGGCTGACGAACTAGGATGGTCCATCTTCTGGCTTTGGGGAGCACTGTGCCTGCTCGGTGGACTCGGCGGTGCGGTAGTAGCACAGACGCAGCCACAGCCTGTCCATCCAGCAGGCTGTGCCCAGTGAAACCTGACCGAGCAGGTTTGCCGCCCTGGGGTTTGGTTCAGGGCGGTAGGCATGGTCTGTGAGGCCGGAATGGCAGTCTGTCCAGACATTTTCAAAGAGGCTTCTTTCATGATTCTCTTGCAATTCGAAATCCATTTCTCTTGTGATCTGGATGTTACTTGTCTCCTTTGGTTGTTTGGCTTAGGGACCTTGCATCGTCCACCCGAGTGGCCGTGCTTCTCAGGGCGTGAAGGTGAAGGAGCGCGCAGGATGCTGTGAGTTGAGGGTGCGGGGTGGGGAGCCCCTGAGAACCCGAGGGCGGGCATGGCGCTCAATTCAGGTGAAGTGACTTGGGGAAGGTTCGAGGCTTCCCCGAGGCTGCTGGAGAGGCTGGGAGGAAGAGATCTGTGGGGATGTGTGTGCGCTAGGGTGTTTATTTTGTTCTGTTCCCTCGTTTGTGGAATTGTTCATGGGCACACATGTCCTGTGCCAATTAAAGGCAGATTGGTATGCGATTTATGAGAAGCATTTCCGATGTAAAGTCTTAAGCTCTGAAAGCGCAAGCTATGAAAAGGTTTGAGCGTCTTATAGGCCCTGGTGATTATGCCTCACTCTAAGGAGCATAAAAGTGGTTTGTCTTTAGCAATACCTCAGTGAGGGTCTCCTTTAACAGTGGATTCCTTGAGCGCCACCAGCACCCAGAACTGGGATTCTCATATGCTTCTGCAGCGGAAGCAGTCAGGGCTCCCTAGAGGAATGTACTTTTTAAAAAATTTTATATTTTTATTGATTTCAGAGAGGAAGGGAGAGGGAGCAAGAGATAGAAACATCAATGATGAGAGAGAATCATTGATCAGCTACTACTGCATGCCCCCTACTGGGGGCTGAGCCTGCAACCCGGGCATGTGCCCTTGACCAGAATCAAACCGTGGCCTCCTGGTTCATAGGTGGACGCTCAACCACTGAATCACGCCGGCCGGGCATGGAATGGCTGAGTCTTAGGGCAGGAGCCTGGGGTGTCTTGTGCCAAAAAGTGAGGACATACTGACGGGAAGGAAGGATAGAAGGGAAGAAGGGAGGGAAGGAGTGAGGGCGGCAGAAAGAATGTGGGCTTGGCATCAAGGACACAGGTTGAAATCATCATTGTATCAGGCCTAAGCTTGCTAATACATAACTCACGTCCCTGGATGGTGGGATGTCCATAGCAACCTTCCTTGCAGACTTATTTAAATGTTTAATGGGATGATATTAATGCATCTGCACGCTGCTGAAGATCAAGTAGGATTGAGAAAACCATGAAACAGTCACTCCTACTAAAATAGCAGGCATACGGGAGACACCACAAAGTAGCCGTCTTATTTGGTTCTTATTTGGTTCTTATTTGTTTATGTGAGGAAGAGTCAGAAGTAATGGCCGTGAGCTTAGAAGAGGTTGACAGCAGGTTGAAAAGAGAAAGTCCACCCTGAGGGTTAAGGGCAGGACCCAGGAAGGGTGGGGGCCCTCCGTGGGAAGGGGCTGTTAGGGACTGGGGGGAGGGGCATTTCCTGGGGGAGGGGCGAGACTCTGGGATCTCAGCTGCACGGGGAGGGGAGGAAGGGAGGGAGGGGGAGAGGGAACTTTCAATACAGATCATTGTGAGGTGACAGATGGGCTAGCCGGGTCAGCCTGCCACTTCTTTGTCTACTTCCCTCAATGCCTGGGCCACAGTGAAACTCCCGGAAGCACTTGGCTAGTTGTTATGTGGATTCCATTCCTAAAGAGTGTGTAATAACCCGGAGAAAACACGTAGCTGTGAATCCGCTTTTTAAAAAAGATTTAAATTCTTCA